GAAATACAGTAATGAATTCGTTTATATTTGCTAAATAAAACCAAACATCGTCGTATATCCTGTATTGTAGACCTAAGTTAAGTGTCACTTGATTGGGTTGTCATTATTTCTAACTTGACAGGCAGTAATACATTCTCTATGCGACACTTTTTCCGGGAATTGAGACGGCTGACTGGGAATCATCGTAGACATGGTTCAATGGTGTTTTAATACATCAGACCCAGACAAGACTTTGGCCTGGAATTACTCAGAGCGGACTGGACGCGGAGGTCGAATGAATGCACGCGTTTCGACACGGGGAATTGAGACATTCATTACCATGCAAGATTCAATTCAAGATTCAAAATTCAAGATTCCATTTATTGTATGCAATATATAAGTATAGGCCTAGTACATGAAATTTGTTTTCCAGAGCTAGGAATACACAAAATATTCATAAAAATTTAATTACAAGACAAATATAATAAAACTATACATACAGTTCATAAAATATTTAAATTACAGTTAAATTAATAATATACAATATATAGTACAGTGACAGAAAATCTAAATGAGTTGATCGCCGTAGAGGTAAAGGAGTTGAGATGGTATTGACAGTATAGAAAGATGTGACTACCTGGTAACCTTGGCTTATAGGTAACAGACTGACAGGCAAAAAATGAGTTTTTACCATATGTTTGTTTTCACACTGGTTGGCAAATCATGCCTGATCAATTAATTAATATACTCATTTAGTGGATGAGAATCGTCAATTTTAAATGAATGAGTTCATAAATTCAAATTTTGATAAGTACTGTATATTAAAAGCTATCTTTAGTTATCAATCCTTTTTACGAATATTAGATATGAGAAATTGACCTGAAATGGATGGTACAGAATTGGTAAGATGGTGGGATTCTTCAGCATTTAATGATTTTGTGCAAAATTAGTGCAAATTATTTATACTGTATGTCATTAGTTGCTAGGGTCCATAACCCAGAGGAAATCCCATACTCTATGTGGAGTGGAGTGCTACTGTATAAGCTAATTTAGATGGTCTGATCAACATGCAAATACATTATAGAAATGATTTATCATTATAACTTATCAATTGAATCTTGACTAGTTTTTCCTAACATTTGGAATAGCGAAATTATTGTTTTGGTTTTTAATTACAACTTTCGAGCAAACCCTGGAAATCTGGCTTTTCTTAAAACCTTTTAATGTTTCAGTTCTTGACTAAAGTATAGACGGATTTATTGAGTAGGCTCCTTGAGAGTTCTTGGAAGCGTGAATAACTTTACATCTTTGCATCAGAATTAAGATCCTTGACATCATATTGACAAAAGTTTATCTGAGAAGTAGCTCAGACTCTTTTTGATAAAAAGTGTCCACAGGCAGATTTGATTACTGTATGCACTGCACGTCATTTTGCCTCTACTTTATTGGGTATTTCCTTCTGGCCATGTTTGGTATCCTTTTTCAATCCGGTAATAAAGCATTTGTCAAGACTAATTGTGTACAGCGATATCACTATTCAGTAAGCTTGGAGTGAAGCTGTGTAGGTTAGTGGTTAAAATGCTTGCCTTCTCATTCCATGGTCCTGGGTTCAATTTCTGTGACAGCAGAAGTTTTTCTCACGACTAAAATCAGCTCCACTCCCTAAGCCCCATATAGAGACAAATCGCCTACGATGATATCTGAACTACATTGAATTTGCTATTAAAAAAATTAAATGGAATGTAGCACCCTCACGAGAGCTCTACATAATCTAAGTTTAAACCAAGTATATGCATAGAGAACAAATCTTTGAACTTCAATTTAAGGCATGACCGGTTAAAAATTATTTCGTGCATGACAATAATTTTTTCTGACATCTAAGTTTAAACCAAGTATATGCATGGAGAACAAATCCCTGAACTTCAATTCAAGGCATGACCGGGTAAAAATGAGTTCGTGCATGACAATAAGTTTTTTTTGGCGTTCTGATTTGGTGATAGGAACCTTAATACCTGAACATCTTTTGCAATTCAAGAGTTTCCTGAAACGATTTGTCTCCGAGAGGTACGATTAATTGTTACTAGACACGAAGATAAATCAAAACAAAACCCATTTCAATGGATGAAGAGGACTTCAAGGTACAATATCCATATGCGTCGATCTTTATTAGAACAGCAACTTGCTTTTCAATTTACAGAAACGACGCTAAAAAAATGGTCAAATGCCTGAATAGAAGTATAAACCTCCGAAGTATAAACCTTCGGAGGTTTGTCAGGAGCTAAGCTATCATAGATGTTTTGAGCATCACAGTGTTTCTTTGATCAGGAGACAATGCGGATAGAAGCTGATTTTATTTTTGATTATCTCTACTATGGAGCTAATTTTGATTTTTACAACATGATGATTTGGTTTTGTTGATGCATCCTCAGCAAACAAAAACAACTAAAAAACAAAAAACAAAACAAAACAAAAAACAACATACACGCTGCGCAGGGAATAGGCCTACTGTTATTGCCAATGATGGTTGATTTACACAGCTTAAGCGATAAACGTTCTATTCAAATGTCATTAATTCATTTCCCACAGCAGCCCATATTTTCTTCGCTACTCTTTAATGAAATGTGTTATTTAAATATTCCCATTTCTTCTGGAAAAGCATATCTTCTTTAATCATCTGACAATTACCATATCTCGAGAAGCCCTTCTTGGAATAGTATGGGCTTCGTTTCGAGATAGTACCGTACACATGAATTTTAAAGAAACAGAATAAATTAAAACCATGCTTGGTTTATACAGTAGTTTAGGTGATTTAATGCCGATTAATACACTCTATGATACAGATTATGTAATACAGTGACCCTATTTATAGTTTAATAGTAATAATTCCCAAAATTTACAGAATTCATTTTGAAAGAAGCCCCCTCTTTACTTTGCAAAAATAGCCTCAAAAAGAAGCTCATCTCGAAAAGAAGCCAATCGAAGTTCGCAAAAAAGAGAACCCAGGTTTTACGGTATTGTTTTCTCAAGTTACAGAGTAGTCCACCAATTCAAAAGTGTCTGCAAATCGCTTTGGGATCCACTATATTTTTAGACCAAATATTTATGATTCCAGTATTTTACGTACAACAGTGTGATAGATATCTTAATACTATACTTTTTGTACCTTTGTGGTGAATCATCTTCCATCTATCTGTTCATAATGGTAGAGTATCGCCAATGCGTAAACTCAGATTTTGGGGGTCTGTAAAGACTTTCAACCATTGTGTTAAAACACTGGACAATATTTTTAACATCTTACCCAATGAAGAGGTTCTGACCAGGCCCACAAGCAAAAATATAACGCATGTGCCGGATCATGAAGATTTTGACCATCCTGGTCCTGTGAAATTGGAACTCTCCATTCTAGGCTGATTTCTAAAATAGAAGTTTAAAAATATTTACTGTAAAATCACGAACCTGGGACACAAGTTACATGCCTAAGGTCCGAAAGTATGAAGAATTTGATTTCTACAGGCTAAATACACTGGGGAAAATAATTTGGAAGGTGCGGGTTCAATTCCCATGTCCAAAACGCGACAGCAATACTTATCTATAAATACCAACAATTATTTTTTTAAATAAATTTATATCCATTCTAACAATTCTTTTTCTGTTTGCCTAATATTTTTACAGATATATCTTTAATGCTATAATAATAATAATAATAATCATAACGAGACTTACGGTACCGTACATGTATGTTTGTACACAGAAATTTGGGCTTTTCTCATTGCTACAATGAGAATTCAAGTTGAAATTGCAACAAAACGAAAAAAAAAAAAAAATTATGATGTAAAAAAAAAAACAATGAAATCCAATTTCATAATTTCACAACTACCGTGACGTTAGTGAGATTCGAACTGTTGCTGCAATGGCAATAGCGGGGTACATCGAGACTCTTAACCATTGCACGCTATATGAACCGACCCTGTATAAGGCCAGTGCCCTCTGTTCATAAATTCAGTAACTGAAAGCAAAAATTATTTATGCATATCAAGGTAGTTTAAGTGTAATATGTTTCGTTGCTCTATGGTTTAACCTAGCTGCAGCTTGTTTAAGACGTTTAGTAAGAAAACGGAAACTGTACAAACAAATCTTTAACTGGTCCTCATGTCCACACCCTACTGCGGATCGTCACCAAAATTTCATCATTTCTTCATTTGACCATGAAAAACTATTCTGCAAAGTTTCATTTTCTGGGACGTTTTCATTTGAATGGTCATCATATCCATACCCTACTCCTGATCGTCACAAATTAAATCATTCCTTTACTAGACCTTGACAAAGTATTACAGAAAGTTTAATTTATACCTATTGATTTTTTAAAAAGATATTTTGGTCTGGTACCTCAGAAATTTAAATGACTCAAATTTACACCCTAAACTGGATCTTCCCCAACCAACACGTAATAATTTCTTCCTAGTAACTTGGGTAAACTTTCCCGAATGTTTCATTCAGATCAGTTGATCAGTTTTAGAAATATCTGGTATGGGACGCAATCTTTTGAAGTTCCTCAGATCCACACCCTACTCAGGATTGTCACAAAAATTTAAAAATTTCACTACTAGACCTTGACAAACTGTTATACTGTACAAAGTTTCAATTATACCCATTGACTATTTAAAAAGCTATTTAGGTCTGGGACCTCAAAAATTTAAATGACCCTTACATTTACACCCTTAACTGGATCGTGATCAACACATAACAATTTCTTCATTGTAACTTGGTTAAACTTTTACGAAAGTCCATACAAATCCCTTTCTATAAAATAAATCGCCCAAAATATGTTCCTACTTCAACCACCACCAGTACCACTCCAGCACACTTCGCTCCACGTGACAGTTTTTACTTCAAAGAGGTACACTATGTCCACGTTTAGTAAATGTTTTTTAAGTGTGGCCATTTTCAGATTTTTTAATCCGAATTTCACCAATATTCAATGCGGCCTGTTACGTTTTCAACACAGAATTCAAGCACCATAATTATAGTATTGAAACACTTTATTTTCAACTACTGATTGTACGACAAAATATGACAACCCACTTACTTTCCAACCACCACCTAATTAAGAAAACAATTTATACACTAACCGGCCAAACAAAAACGCCTTTTATTGTATCAGTTATATGCCCGCCAATTCCTTTCTTCTGCTAGTTAAACACACGGAAACATTTTAATTAAATAATTGGTCCTTGGCGTCACATGTTTGAACATAAAGATGCATTAAAAATATTTCAATGAGTTCCAAAAAACTGAAGTTAGTACATACATATAAAACGCATACATTTACTGTAATAGCACTGATTTAAATATTCATCATACAGCTTGTTATCTTCCTTTGGTATACGCCTAGGACGTTTGCTCGTAAATGCCTTTAAATGGTCCTGACATCCAGACCCTACTCCGGACTGTCACCAAAAATTTAATCATTTCTTCATTGGGTTATACCTAACACTCCCTGTTATTTTCAATTATGTCTGTGCTGCCGTTTTCCAGATATTTTACACACAAAAAAACCTAATGAAAACACCAAAACACGAGGAACACACACACACTTGTACGACTGAAAACATACATCCCCTGGAGAAGAAATACAGTTTTTATAAGGCATAAACAATGTCATGGCATCTCACTGTGTTGTACAGACTTTGCTAAATTATACACTTATTCTAACAATTTAAAATTGAATACAACTAAAAACCGTCAATAAGACATACATAAACTAGTATTCCCACTCCAGTACACATAATTATTCCTATTCCTGAACTTCTGTCTTTACCTATCTTTCTCAGTTCAGATGTGTCTCTATAATGGAAAGGAACTTTAAAAAGTTCAAGTTTGGGACAATTTAGGAATAGTGAAGAATATGAAAAAATGCTGTGTTTCAGAAACGAAATTCAATTGCATATGTGCATTATGCATAGACAACAAATTCATTGATTGAATGTTCTATAAATAATTTTAGATACCTATATAAAATTAACATTTATATTAAACACACCATTTATCATGCATAGATGTATTTGGTTTGACTTTAAGACACAAAGAAATGAAAAAAAACCTCAACAATTTAATTAAAATATGGAATAGCTAATATTTAAAAGGATAAAATAAGACCCGACTAGAAACATTTAAGAAAAAAAGTTCTCGCTCGTTTACATAATTTACTAGACAACCTTAATGCCAGGCTCTGGAGGGAAAAAATCGGAAATAGCTAATGAGATTTTTGAATATTTAACAACAGGAGGGAAAGTGGAAAACCACTCTTTTTCCAACTTTTAAAAAAATGAAAATCAACATATCAATTTTTTTCTCCTTCGGAACCTTTAAATTTATTACCAGCAAATATAAAGGGCCTATGCAAAAATTATACAGAAAAGGTATGTATTGTATTTTTTTTTTCTTTGCAAGTTAACGTAACACAACATAAATTACGTAACATAAATGAATTAAAAAATTATGTAATTCAAATTTATGGACAAATTATTTACTCATCACTAACATTCAGACAGACATTACATCTTTAAGTAAAACATGTCAGAGAAATATATGAAATAATAAAATTTACCATGTTATACATTGTGGTATTAAGTATTCTAATAATCCTGCATTATAAATAATAAAAAAAAACATATTGTTTTATTACATATAAGCCAGTACAATGGTTACTACCTATCAAATACCAATTTCATATTTTTGTATTATTTGACTGAACTATTTTGATGAGGATTTGTTTAGCATAAAGAGGCTGCTATAATATCTCATCAACATTCTGATGTCATTCACCTTTGCCCTCTGTACAACAGTCACAGAATCCTTATGTTCTAAGATCACAAACTCTTTAGAATCGGTAACTATCGCATACTTGAACTGCTTCAGAAAGCAAAGATAGCCAGCAGTCTGATACACTGCTACATCTAGACATATACCATTATCATCAGTGATAGTCAAAAGCAAGTCAGATAGGGAGCCATTACCTAACCCCTGCTGATACTTTAATTCCACAAGTCGATTGGCTGAAAAATCAGAGTTCGGTTGGATTGATTTCTAGAAATAGAAAAAAACATAAGCAATAAACATCACAAATTTAGAAATTGTAGTATAGTAATATATTATTAGTTAAATGCCTGTTTTGTGTTTGTGTACAGATCCAGCTTACCTATGAAAGGTGGAGATTGGTTTTATTAGGGATGCTTGTTTTATATTCACAGAAAAGACTTGGGCTTATTACTGATCCCTGGGTGATGCAAAAATAAATAATCACAGACAACCTATTATCATGCCTACAAATATAAGATTGAAACCAGCCACAATATTACAGCAATAATTACATTAAAGCACTCATGGAAGGACTGCATGATTAAGTGTGTCTAAAGCTGCGCTTAGATATAACACCATGAATAACAATCTTTCCTTTAACAAATCACTTTATATTTTCATTAGCAGTTTCTGTTTTGTAGCATTATTTGTATGCTGACTGGAAAACATTATTCATGTTATTTTAAAGCAAGACATTTCTTGAATTGTTCATCAGTACGATATTCAATGATTTATTATACTAAATCCCAGTCGAGGCAACTATTTTTTTACAACCAAAATTTATATATAATTATAGCATTACTGCAAGATGGCTTACAGTTTATCTCTATTATACCTGTCTCTTATACACCTCTAGATGTGTATAAGAGACAGGACCTTGACAAAGTATTACAGAAAGTTTAATTTATACCTATTGATTTTTTAAAAAGATATTTTGGTCTGGTACCTCAGAAATTTAAATGACTCAAATTTACACCCTGAACTGGATCTTCCCCAACCAACACGTAATAATTTCTTCCTAGTAACTTGGGTAAACTTTCCCGAATGTTTCATTCAGATCAGTTGATCAGTTTTAGAAATATCTGGTATGGGACGCAATCTTTTGCAGTTCCTCAGATCCACACCCTACTCAGGATTGTCACAAAAATTTAAAAATTTCACTACTAGACCTTGACAAACTGTTATACTGTACAAAGTTTCAATTATACCCATTGACTATTTAAAAAGCTATTTAGGTCTGGGACCTCAAAAATTTAAATGACCCTTACATTTACACCCTTAACTGGATCGTGATCAACACATAACAATTTCTTCATTGTAACTTGGTTAAACTTTTACGAAAGTCCATACAAATCCCTTTCTATAAAATAAATC